TTTGCTGCTTATCGTCCTTTTTCTCCTGTCAATGTTCTTCATTAAGCAGCATGTGTTGGCCTGTGGTCAGCATCAGTGTTGCTCTTCTCACTGTAATTCCTGCTTTATTATATTGACTTTTAACTAGTAGATTTAGGTCCATGGCTAGTATGTATCATTCTCTTTCCAGAAGTATTTACTGAGGTAGTCAGCTGGTTTACTGTATCTCTGCAACAAGTACCTGCCTACTTTTTAAGATTAGGCAATGGTGGTACTTACAGGGCTTCTGCTTTTTCATGTTTGTTTCTTTGGAAGGACAGAGTTTTAAGTTCCTCTTCTAAAATAAACACTGTGGCCCTATAAACGTCTCTTCTGAAAACTATGTGATGGGTTTACAGGGAGATATCTCACTCTTCTCTCCCTGTTTTCTTCCCTCCTTAACACCGCTGGTGATGTTTACCAAACATTTTCTTGTGGAATAGAATCCATACAATTTCTGCTCTCAGAAATGTTGGACTTGTAGCGTTGACTTATTTAACTTGTTAATTACTTTTTCATTTTTTTATTCAACGTTAATTTAACAGATTTTAACTCTCTCTTTGTAGTATTAAGCAGTTTAACTAGAATTAAACAGTCATACTTCTGTATGTGATTAGAAACAGTAATGAAGTTGTAGACTATTCTAACAGTGTATTGATTTCTCTTGCTATGACAGCCATCATAGCATCAAAGTATTGCATAGCTTAAAAAACTACAGTCTGTCCTGCTGCTTATGTTTATGAAGTCCTTAATATATGATAGTGTACCTTGAAAAGACACTCTCTTAAATCTCTTAGGACTTGTATTAAGAGTCATGCATAGGGTGGCAGCAATATGAACAGTGTTTTTGTGAGGTAGATTTTTCTTAAAAATGAGATAAAAACCAACAAGGTCTACTTGTTTACAAAAAAAAAAAAAAAGTATTTTTTTAAAGGTACCGAGAATATCAACGCATGCTTCTGCATTAACCTTTTCAATAAAGCATAAAAAAATTTCTTCATTAGAAGGGAAGCAAACTTAACGTAGCTGCAATTACAAAATATTTCATGCTTTATGATTAATCTGAGAGTTCTTACTTGGCCCCACTTTAATAATTCCTGTGCTTTCTCCATTGACATTTTATAGTGATCACTACTGTAACTAAAGAAAATTTTCTCTTTCTGCTTTTGTGTTACGTACATTGTTGTTCTGCAGAGATGCTGTCTTCCTCTGAATCATCAGTTGTAGTGTCAGTGCAGAGGCTGTTGCACTTGTCCACAAAAAAATTTTTGCAAAGTGGCCAGAGAATTTCTTAGATATCTGGAAACCCTTACATGGTCAAATAAAATTTCATTTTACCCTAGAAGCCATTAAGTAAGTGTGACATCAAGAGATCAAAAATAATGATGCCCTCTGTTTCTGCCCCTCTTGATTCTTTTACTGCTTTCCCTCCTGGTCCTCATTAAGATGCAAGGGAAAAAAAAGGCAGGTAATGTCTATAGGGACAACTGGACGACTACCTGTACAAATAAGAATGACATGATAATTTTTCTAATTTTGTCACTTGCGTGTGTTCATATGTGTGTGTCTACGTATGTATGTGTGTATATATATATATTTGCGCATACGTATATTAGAATCTCATTGATACCTTGACTCTATCAACTCTTAGCCAGAATGAGGGGTGAGAGGGGAAGAGAAATCTGTCTTGGAAGAAAATTGTCAAGGTGAAACGGAGCTTATTGAACTTGATCCCTTTGAAGGGAACTGTTACGCTCTGCCACATGTTCCCTTTGCTTCCCTTTGGCTGGAGACTCTCACAGGGCTGTTGAACAGAGACGTTTTTCTACACTTTAAGTTATGCCAGTAGCTTGGCCTGCTGCAGTTCAGGAAGGAGATCTGAATTTGTGTTTCTCCACCTTCCTTCCCTGAACTTGTGTGTTAACTGTGTCTTGTATGAAAGGAAGGAAAAGAAAATATTTTATCCCTCCAGAAAGAGTGACTTTGTTTTTTGAGCTCCACCTGTTTCAGTTTTGTAAAATGCAGGATGGCCTAGCAGTTTGTCCCTGTATGGCAAGGGACAAGCAGCTGTCCTAGAACAGGCTTGTTCTATAGCTACTGCTAAAGAAAGCAGAGAGAAATGGCAGGAAAAGGCTTGTAGGAAGAGGACCGCTTTTGAGGCACGCGGTAGTTTTGTCTTCATTCAAGTCCAAAACTGGGAATGTGACTGAAAGCATGACTATTATGCTTGGAAAGCATGAGTGTCTCTGGGTTGGAGGAGTGATTAAGAAAACTGAGCTCAGTGTGCATTATTGATTCCCCTTCCCCTCCTCTTGGAAGGAAGACTTTGCTCTTTTGCCCATGAAAGTGAAATATAAATTTATGAAGCTGATACTTCTGATAACATTTTTGCAGTCTGTGTTTGTCTTACATTGGTTGGGAGTATCTAATAATATGGCTTTCGAAGTTGTAAGTTAACTTACATGCTTATTTTATTTGAGGAAGGCAAAATATCTCAGTTTCTTAATTGTCATGATTTCCATGTGTGTCCTAGTTTAAGTTGTTTAGTGTATATTACTAATGCGTCTTGATTAGCACTTAGTGTTTGTACAATTTTTATCGTCCTTAAAGAATAAATAACTATATGTTTTAGAAAAATGAAAGTTTGGTGAGACAGTATAAGACGTAAATGTTCTGGGGGGGAAGGTTAGTACAGTTACAGGAGTATAAACATTTTGTGCTTTTTATATGCCCTACGGTATGATACGGAGGTTCTTTGCCAACTGGCTTGATTTGGAAATTCTTCTGGTTTATGAATGGCTTGCCTGATTTCCTCCTCTCCTGTGCTAGTTTTAATTAAATAGATAAAACTTCAAAACTGGAAATGCGTGAGACTGATTTCTTTACTGCCAAGTGTCAGGATCTCTTTGCTGTTTTCAATGAAGTTACTCGTTGCTGATCACCAGCCTTTTGTCGCAGAAATGGTTATTTGTGTAAAGTCAGTCTTTTGACTTTAATACTGAAATGAGCTCAGCAAAGGAGAATGATGATAATCTACTTTTAAGCATCTTTAAAGCAATGAGAAATGGTAACCATTGTGGACTCTACAAAACAGTTGAAACGAAAATGTGAAAATATGCTGATAAAAATCTTATAAAAGTATATGCAGAGAGCTGATGAGTAATACATTAAAAGTAGGTAATGAAACTCAAACTTCAAAGTGGATGGCATTTTATTTTATTTTAATTGATGTGAACCTGTGACAGCACTACTTTAGAATTATTTGGGGACCTGTGTCCCTTGCACTCTGCTAATCAGTGAGTGCCACCACTGAATTAGTAGTGGAGAGGAGAAGATCTCATACTTTGCTTTGCCCATCAGTGCAAGGTATAGCAGTAAGAAAAAGCAGAGGGTTTTGAAAATGATATTACTGATCCTGACTTGGGGTTGACTGATTTTACTATTTTTTATATTTTAAAGGTTTTGAAAAGATTGGCTAGTACGGCTAGTTAGATATATGGCTGCCTGATGTTCTGAAACTATTAGGATTTTGGAAGGGGAAAAGTTAGTTGTTTTTTATGTTCAAGTATTATGACCCAAGCCATTAAGAGAATTCAGTAGCAGAATATAGCGTAGCAGTATCTCTACTCTAAAGATGTAAAAACCTTAAAGCTTATCTTATCAAGCTTAATAAAACTTGTATTTGTATCCTTCTTATATAGTTATTATTGCAGTTTGTAGTTTTAATTTAAGATTGTGAGAATGTCACAGTTCTATTTGGTTGTGATTGACCAAAACAGAACATAGCTTGTCACAGCATAAGTAGTGTGGTTTTTTGCTGACAATATACATATATTTGATATTTATATTAGCTCAAGAAATTTTTTTGAATAGAAATATACCAAAATTATAACACAGATATGTAAACCACTCTTACCGCTTTTTTTTTTTTTTTTAAAGAGTTCACTATTGGAGAAACTATTTTTCAAATAGTTTAAGTATAGACAAGTGCATAGTATTCTGCACTTTGACCCATACAAATAAAGTTTTACCTGACTGGAATGCCAGACTGCAGCCACCTGGTCTCTGCTCTTTGAAAAGGGGCTGTTCACATGGCTCAGATGGTGCGATATGCAACAGAACCTGGAAAAGTAAAATGCAGATTGCCAAAATATTAAAGTTTCTTAAGATGCAAGCTGTTTCAGTGACTTACTTATTTCAATTACAAGGAATGTATGCACTGATTTGTAGATGCTGAACCATTTATATTCTTTAAAATCAACTTTGGGGGGTGGAAATAACTTTTCCCTCCTTCCCTTTAAGGAACTTTTCATGAAAAGGTGTTATTTAAACTGACTAAATAGTAGATATTCCGCAGGCAAAGCTTATAATAACCTTACCGTGTCCTGGGCTTATTCAGCCATATATTGCAAATTGATAGAACGTTCCATTGATTTATGCATGAGTTTTAGGAGAACAGAGTAGCTACTGAGTATTCCTTCTCAGTTGGTTAGACTTGCAGTGCTCCTAGTCTGTTGGCAGCACAGTGTTGATAATGTAGCAAGAACTATTTCACTTGTATTTCTTTCCACTCTTTTGTCTTTGATCAGAGTTGTTTGTAGCAAGAGAAAGGGAATTAAAAGACAGCATAAGTAAGAAATAAATGGATAGATTAAAAAAAAAAACACACGAAGATTTAGATAACAGTAACTGGTATGCAGCCAGTAGCTATGGTTTGAAGCAGTGCAGTATATTGATAAGAAGTATGACTAAATTAGACTTGAGTCTATTGCCTCAAGTCAATGTTTAACTGTTCTCAGCCTGGATCTTGAATGCCAAACTTCATTTTGCTTGTGTACCAAAGAAAAGCTTAAATGAAGGTTTCTGAAAGTCATGTTTTAGACAATGCTCTAAACTGTGAGATAAATAGTAAACTTGTTTAGTCAACTTAGGAGAGAGAGCTCATAATCTTGCGTCAATGTGTTTTCTTGACTTCGTTCTAGTTTTTGATGATGGTGATGAAAGGACCTTGAGACGAACTTCATTATGCTTGAAGGGAGAAAGGCACTTTGCAGAAAGTGAGGTAAGACAACAACGGACGTGCATTGAAAGCCAAGTATGAGCGTTTCTTTACGATGTGAAGAAACTGCAAAATAATTTTGTTTCTTTTTCTGTGTAGACGCTTGACCAGCTGCCACTAACCAATCCAGAGCACTTTGGAACACCAGTTATTGGGAAGAAATCTAATAGAGGAAGAAGATCATCTCTTCCTGTGTGAGTTTTCATAATGCTGCGTTGTGTTCCTTTCCTTTACTGTCCTTTGCTAAAACTTAAGCAGTGCCATTGAAGCTATAAGTCTATCTTGTGGGCTGTGTAGACAGATTATGGGCTTAAGTAATTCGATTCATGTAGAAGTGTTTAAATATTAGCAGTACTATGACACTGATTTGTTTTTTCTTGCCATAGCCTTAAGAATGTTTGTGCTCCGCTAATGTAATAGGAGCTGAGTATGTCAGGAAATGTAGGAATTTTAACCTTCTTTCTACTACATAGAGTAAGAAAAAAAGATATTTTTAAATTTCTGTGGCAGAGACTATATTCCTTTGTTTCATGTCTGTGCACAGTCAAATCCTGATTCATGCCTCCAATTTCAACATGATGCTGTTGTAAAATAATACTACTTATAGTTGGAAAAGATTTCTGCAAAATTCCTCTTACTAAGTAAGTGCAATTAATATTCAAGTGCGTTTCAAGTACATTTAGCTCTTCAAATTCTAATTTTGTTTTTGAAGTTTTGCAGAATGGCAGGAGAGATCGGGTTGTAAGCTGTATTTGCTTTCAAATGTTTTCTTCAGTTAAAAGCTGTAAAATACTGTATGTTTTAATAATTTAGAACTGAAGATGAAAAAGAGGAAGAAAGTAGTGAAGAAGAGGATGAAGATAAAAAGCGTCTCAGTGATGAATTACTTGGCAAAGTTGTGAGTGTGACTTGTTGTTCTGAGAAGGCAGACTGGTATCCAGCTTTGGTAAGTTACTGTAGACGCTGACAACTCTAATGTCGTACTACTGCTATCTTTTTAGATGAAGGTATCATCTGACTTGTTTAAGCATTGCTTTTACAGCTGTTTTCCTGGACAGCATGGTTTGCAAATTTCACAGCTTTGTTTTAGAGGTTAAGGATGTAGTCAGACTACGCTCTGCTGCACAAATTCTCTAAAAATACAAATATTCCATGTTTGTTCACTGATTCTTGCAGATTTTGTTTACTTAACTGTATATGTCATAGTCCTTTATTTTGAGTGTTCAGAGTAAGCTGGAAAGAGTAGTAATGTAATAATCTTCTAACTTAGTTTAGCATCCTACTTTCTTCTGTGAAAAAGCTAACTACACAGGCTACTTATCTTCCCTTTCCCTGAAAAAGATATATCCCTATGATATAGGGTGAACAGTTGATGCTGCATTTTATGTTAGTTTAAAATGTGAGATGTGGTATCCTTATGTATGTCCTGATTGTTGTATATCTCTTTACTAAGGATAGATTTTAAATTAACATGGTTCTGAACAGGAGATAAAGTTATTACAGGCCCTGTAACTACTGCTCTGTCCTCTTCTAACTGAGAAACAAGAATGTCTTTTGGGGACTCGGGTAAAATCGTGCCTCAACTGAATTAGGTGGCACAGCTTCCACTGATCCTGGTAGGTCCAGGAGTTCATCTGCATTTAACATTGCAATGCCTTCTTCTATCCGTATATTGTCTAGACCAAAAATGTAGTCTTATTCTGTGTTTGTGGTAATTCAGATACTGCAAATATATATATGTATATATATATATTTTTTTTTTCTCCAACTTTTTGGGCCGTTAGAGGAAATACTGTTGTGGAATGATGCAGTAGATTCCATACTGGTTTATGTTATCCACAACTCAAAAAATACTGCTTACCTGTCAGTTTGAATGCGTGCGATCAGAAGTTAGTATAAAATACTGGGTCTGTGACTTTTGTTTTTAAATGGATGCTTCATACAGGTCTCATATGAGCAGGAGGAAAAAAACAGAGTAATAAACAGAGTTCCATGGTGTCGCTCCTGTAGAGTAGTTTTTCGGTTTACAAACGAAATAGTATGCTTTTCAGGCTTGCACATGACAAGTAGACTTGAGTAGTGTGAGTTTAACTGCTTCTTGAAATTTGTCATTGGTAGCCTTTGTAATATAAAGTGGAGTGCCTGCCTTTTTTCTCAGAACTGGAGATCATAATAGAAGAAACAGAAAAACAGTAATTTTCCTGGTACTCATCTTTCTTTGCTATCAAGATGAACCTTTTTTTGCTTAAAAAATATATTTTATTTGAAACTTCAGGTTGTATCTCCCAGCTGTAATGATGATGTCACAGTGAAGAAGGACCAGTGTTTAGTTCGATCCTTTGCAGATTCGAAATTGTAAGTATTAGCTTACTTTTATTAGACTTATATTGGAAAAATATGAAAAACTAATGAAATATTCCTTCTGAAGACATTAACAGTTATTTCTGTAAGTGAAGGGTACCATTTTGCAGAGTGTTGTTTATATGCATTTACTGTTCCACCTTTGTCCTAAATGGAAAAGACAACTAAATGGCTTACAGCTTTAGAGGAGGGCCTAAAATCTTGCACAGTCTGAGAAACATGTGAGGTTAACAGTTACTGTCACTGTAAGAAAATTAAATTTATTCTGAAATATTTTTCTGTATTTGTTAACCATTTTCATTCATAGTCCCCTTCCAACTAATTTCTTCTGCGTGTGTGTGTGGCGTTTTTTTCCTCCTCCTCCCAGTTACATTGTGTTTGTAGTGATGGATTTCACTGGATTACCAAAGTTTTTTGGTGCCTTTTTGTTTTAAGGAAAAAATCAACAACTGTGAAATAAGCAGATGTTAGCTAAAGAAGTTTCCTGTTCTGTAAAGCTTGGCTTTTGCCCTCATAGTTCCCTCTATAATATGTCTCATTTATTACATCTTTATGGGTGCGTGCTACAGTAGTTACTGAATCGTTACCGCCAATGCCCAGATGTGCGTAGCTATTTTAATAGCAGAGTTTAAAAGCCTTTAACCAACTTTTAAAAAAGACAAGTGAATTTAAAGTAGCTGCTGAATTAAAATTTTTACAGAAACCTGAACAAAGATTTCTGGGAAAGGAAAAACAGGTCCTATTAGTCCTAAACATTAATAAAAATGAGAGAATGGGGGAGAGAGATGTGTATTACTTAAGGAATAATCTATTTAAAAGAGTATGAGAACTTTTTTTGTTTTTTAAGGCAGTTTCCCGTTATTTCTCTTCATCCTTATAAAGTACTTCTAATACATCTGTCTCAACATATTGTAACTAAAAGCACCCTTGCCAAAGGCCCGCTGTCACCCCTCTTTGTCTCTTTCAAGTGAACAATCTGATTTTTTTTTTTTTAATAGCCATAATTTTGAGTAGGGTGCGAGTACTTGATTACTGAAACGTATTTTAGGTAGCTAAAGACTGTATTCATTTTGGCCGACTAATCGTTAGGTACACGAGACCTGTATCATTAGCCTTCTAGGTTGATATGGATCCTTATACGCTCAAGGTAGGATGTTATTAGAAAAACATGCAGACTTGCTCTGTTTTACTTTTTTTTCCATAGTATTATGGCTTTAACTTCGGAAAATGGCGGCCTCCTATTCTTGAGGTTTTACTCCAGTTTTTCTGAAGTAACAGAAAGAAGAAAAAAATCTTATTGTAATAACTCACTTGTAAGGCTTTCCTTGCAGGTTGGTTAGCATTTCTACTGTAGTAATTCAGTAACTGAATATTCACTGTAAGTTTAGAACAGAGCGACTTCAATATATTTTACTGAGAGCGCTTTCGTAATTTAAAAGTCAACCATATATCAAAGCAGATATGTGAACTTGGCTTCATTACTGTTCTGTGCTAGTAGAAATGGAGTTTGAAAATAGAGGACTTTTTAACTCGTTTGCTCTTTTGGGTAGCAGTTATTTGTTAATTGATTAACCATTTAAAAAATGTTTTCTGCTTATATGGAGTATTTTCACTTTGTAAATTTGTGCAGCTAAAATGTTTAAAATACAGAAACTTTACAAACCTGTCTTAATTACAAGGGTACTTTTAGTGTCTGAATTTCAGAGGAAGATTGGAAGTTTATTCTGGTTTTGAGTTTTATGTTAGGACCTGCAATAATAAATGCCTTATTTCTTTAATGCTTAGAAAGGGCCTTGAAAATAAATGATAAATCTTGAACTTTTAGACATTACTGTTTTTGTAAGTGGAGTACTTGCCTTATTGTGATTTTAAAATAACAATAGAATCTTCTTTTTCTTTCAGTTACTCAGTAGCAAGGAAAGACCTTAAAGAACTAGATGTTCTAAGCTTACCAAAGTCTGAGTCCTCTACTAAGAAAGGTAAATTAGAATAACTTCTAGCTGTTTAAAAATATAATCTTACGTAATAATTTTAACTTTTGCAAATAGCTGACCCCAGGTTGATTTGAAGTGAAGGCTCTACGATTTTTGCAAGCAATTTTAAACGTGCTGAATTAGAGCAACTTTGGATATAACCTCCTTGTCTTTAAAATAGCACCCAGTAGAAGTCTCATTCATTTGATTTCTATTTCCTCCTCTTGTTTCGTTCCAAATTCATGGAAAATGAATAGAATATGTTCAAGGTGGAGTATTTGAAATGTATATGAAGTCTCATTATGCAATGGAATAGATATTCACTTTCCCTAAATCCCAATTTATATGCTAGAGTTCAAAATACTTGTCTTTATCTGAAAAACACAAAGTTTGCTCCTCCTTCTCTTGATTAGACTAGCCTACATGAGTAGCCTGTGATTAATATTTGATATAAAAGACTAATAACAGAGTTTGATATCTGAATGGATGATGTGACTACAGTTTCCATGTTTTAGTGTATTTGTGGAAGACCAGACTCTCACCTGGATGTAAAATATATATATATTTGTAAACTGCTGCTGCTGCTTTTCACAGTCAGGCCTCAAAACACAAGATTGGTTAAGGAGAAATCTCTAAAACCTTTTATATTAAAAAAAAAAATCTCTGATTTGAATAAAGATGTGAAATGACATCTTTACAAGTGAGGATTAACATAATACTCAAAGTATTGAGGCAGTTTTGATAAAGGTTCACGTAATCGTTAATGATACGGAGAATGTATTTGGAAGTCATTATTAACTATTTCTGAGTACAAGAACTTTAGGACAGCCAATAAAATCATCAGATGTAAGGATTAAGATGAATCCAAGAAAGGAAAAGAGTTCTTTCCTCCTTCTCCCCCATGCAGCACATAATTGGGTTGTAGGATTCGTTACCGTAGAGGATTGTTGTTGGAGCCAAACGTAGAAATGGTTTCATAAAGAGATTAGCCAAATTTCTAGAGGATACTCCAGCAGCAGCTATTAAATATGAGACCCTGGAGGCAATACTTGGCTCAGGAAATACCAACCATTGATTATTGGAAGCTGGAAAAGCCTATTTGGAGAGGAATCACTCTATACCTGCCCAGTAATGGATAATTTTCTCTGAACTATTTAACCATATAGCTCATACATGGCTAAACAGTTCAGAGAAAGGTATGTGTAACTGACTGAATGTTGCAGTTTTTCTTAGTAACTGAGCAAAGGGAGCACTGGTGCTTTTACTCTCCATCAACATTGCGAATGGCTTGTTGAAGTACAAACCTCTTTTGGGTAGTTTTTTGATTCCTCTTTATTAAAGTCTTTTATTGTGCCTGGGGGAGGCGTGTTTGGGGGTTTTCTGGGCTTGTCTTGCTTTGTTTTTCTTCCCCCTTGGAGCACCTATTCAAGGAAAAGAATTTGAGGTATTCCCATTGTGCAAGTGTGACTTCTTCCCTGCCCCCTCAGTCGCTTACTCGTTAGTGTATTTCCTCTGTTCCAAACAGTAACGTAACGTTTTCTTAGTGTTACCAAAAAAAATTGTTGTTTTCACTCTAAACTTTTGACATGCGTGTCTTTCAAAGAGAACAAAGGAATTCATGTTACTTGATCTAACTGTAATTGGCTTTTTTTAATATAGCTTTATATCGCAGTATTTCTGTCTCATTCATACAGGAACAGAGCAGCTTCACAACTGCACAGAACGTATATAGATAATAATAGGTGTTTAGGGTGCATATAAACAGGTGAGGATCTTAGTATTGATCATTAAGACATCTACCTAGAAGATAACGTGGATGCTGTGTATGGGATGGACGATCTCAACTCTAAGTTCCTTAAGTTACTGAGAACTGATTTTTAAAGTCTGACAAACATGAAATGTAAAATGGGCAGACTCTGTTTGAAGTTGAAGGTTGTACTTTATCATCCTCTGTTAATCTAATTCTGAATTTCACTTTTGGTTTAAATTAGCATTGTAATTTACAACAACTCACAAAGCGTTTTTAATTTCCTTTTTAATTCTGAGTATTTTGGATGAGATAAAAACAGGGCACTTTCTTCTGTAGGGTTACAGGAAGCAAGCACGTTCTTCAACACAAAAGGTGTTCCTCGTAACTGGAAAATGGACATAAGTGAAATTCTGGAATCGTCTAGCAGTGATGAGGAAGATGGAGCTGCTGCAGAAACTGATGAAGAGCAAGAAAAAGGAGAAGAAAAAACTGAAGAAGTAGTGGTAAGTCTGGGCAATTTCAGTCGTGCTTCAAAGATAATTGAGTAACTTGTATGCCTAAAGATGTTCCACTTGCCAGAGTTTGACTCTCAGACTTAGTTTACTCACTTTAACAAGTTTTCAGACCTGTTTGTCTTGCTGTTGCTACCGGCTTTCTGTAATGGAATTTGCGTGCAATGGCAGGTACCCGCTATTATCCAGTGCGGAAATTGAAGACAAATCTCAGAAATTAAGAATTCAAGGCAGAAGGGAGTGGTGGAAAGAATCTGGGTCAAAGAAAGAGAAATAAGGAGAGAATATGAAGCAAAAATTTGATGCTCAGCCAAATAGTAATAGTCCAATGTTGAATAAAAGTAAATTGTTTCTGAACACAGTAGTTTGATAGAAAGACAAATTGAACTGCTAAAGCAAAATTACTAGGCTGGGTGAAAGGCGTAGAGTCTGTTACAGCTGTTTGCTGCCCAGGACTCCATTTAAAAGCAGTATGGCACTCACCTTTGAAAGTGAGTCACGGCGTTAGTTTTTTCCGAGCGCTATCACTGGATATTAGAAATGGTCCAAGCTGGATGCTCTGTTTAATACTGGGTTGAGATTCATGGTAAAAAGTTTTTCTGCCTCAGAACATAGTAGAATGTTTTGAGCGATTCCTTCTCAACAAAGGCAGCTAAAGTCTCTTGGTGTCCTCAAACGAATTTACAGAATGTCCTTTTATTTCTATTACCTATTTTTAAATCTGCAAAAAAGGGGGAGGGGTGATGTTGTTGTTGTTTGGTTGTGAGGTTTGTTTGCCTCTCTTTTGTAATTTTTACAATACGCTTGGAAGCATATGCTGCTTTACGCAGAAAAATAAAGTGAAGTTTGTCTCCTAAGGAAGGTCAAATATCGTTTCCCTTTCACTTCCCCTGTAGTATGTGGTTTTGTCACACTGAAAACAGAATGGCTGTTCATACTTGGAGGCTGCCTACAGTGTTGCCACAGCAACATACTGTTGGTTTCGAGTGAGCATGCTCCCGAAGAGAGGAAGATTTAGCAGAGGCTTGGCAGCCTGCCAGCGGAGGCTTGCCAGATGCTTTGAAATGGGCTGTCTCTTTCTTTTCCTTTCATGTAATGTCTGATTTTTATATGGAAGAGAATGTAAGTAATGCCGTATAACTGCGGATGCCGTGCAGTGAGAGAGAAAGAAAGCAAATATTTGCAAGTCAGGCTGAAATATGTCCGGACACTGGGCACATTAGGTAGAAAGGAAATAAAACCATTTTACATTTGAAAGAATGCAGCTCATAGGTAAGGATTTTGTATTTTCATGTGTAAGATTAATATTTGTAGTAGGAATGTGGATATGAGGTAGAGATTTTTAGATTTCTGATGTGTGAACAGTCCGGTGGAGCATGCTATCAGGGTAGATGTTTCCACGTAAAAAAGACAATAAGAATCTATTTTTAGGTATTAATTTTGTGCCTTAGTAACAGCGTTCTGCAAAATGGAGTCTATACGTCTATATGAAAATGATGATATGATTAGATAAATGTAAGGATGAATGCGCATAGAATGTAAAATCCTGTGGGTTTTTTCCTCTGTTTGCAGTGAAAAGGACTGAACAGGCCACATTTTGCAGGGTGTGAACTGTTGCAGTCTGTACTGGTCTGTTTGCATTAATGCTGGTCAAAATTGCAGAAGAGCAGTCACTAAAAATCAAGGATTGTTATACTAGTTTTCTAGTATCCATTTTTAATATCCTTTTTCCTGGCTTTTGCAGGAAAGTGCTGTGTGTTTCAAACAAAGAAGGGGGAGGGGGGAGCTTTGTGTTTTTAAAAAAAAAAAAGAGAGAGAGAGAGAGACCAAAAAAAAAAAAAAACACAGCAGCATTCCTGTAAAAGAAATGGGGTTATTTTAAGGAATAATCGGAGTGTAGCGGTGTAGTGCAGTGAAGCAAAGGATTCCAGACAGGTAGTTGTTGTTGGTAGGAAAAACTGTAGAATCCATTATTTCTGGGTGACAAGTGAGCATCTTCGTGCTGAACCTATGTAGCAGAGCACAGATAATAATCTTTTTTGATTATGTCAGAGCAGAACTGTCACTCCAGCCCATTAAATCAAATTCCTGGTTCAAGTGTTACAGTATATTATATATTTTAATTGTGGGCCAAGCTAGATATTGCAGTTAGAAAGCATTTAGAGAATTTATGTATGTATTTTTTTTTTCTTTAGAAGGTCAGTAATATAGGTTGCAGAGAGAATCAATGAGGGAAGAATATTGTTTTGCCTTTATTTGACTACAAACATTGAATTACTCAGATCTTGCGTTTACGTTTTATAGTTTCTCCTCTGTTAATCAAGGTCAAAATAGCCTCTGTCCATCTTTTGTCAGAATATTTTCTGTGGAGCTTTTATTTTAGATCTGCAAGTTGTTACATTACTGGAGATGCAAAGGGAGGTGTTAAAGTGTTTTTTTTTCCTCTTTTCCTGTCTGTCTTGCACCCCCCCCCCCCCCCCCCCGCCCCCTTTTGAAAGCCGGGGGGCCTCAGCCATGATGGGCCTTCATTAAGTCAATTAAATGGACATAGACCTATGTAGTATATAATGAGAGCATAAAGTCGATCAGAAGAATCTAATTCTGGGAAAGGGAAGGTTCCTATTTTTCTGGAGTAGGATCTTTTATAATGAAATGGAGCAGAGAGGCCTACCGTAGCTGGTGATAACAGATCCTACTGTTTTTCCAGTAGCTGGGTTAAAATCTGTAGCTTTGCCTTGACAGAGACTGTCTTTTTTAATTGTGATGCCTTTTGTGAAATATGAGAAGTATGTTAGAATTGGTACAGCAAGACTTCTGGCCTTTACAGGCTTTTTTCTTTGCCTTTTGTATGCTAAGGAATAGGAACCAATATGGTGGTGGTGAGATGCTTATCCTTCTTGCTGGTGGCAACTGTCTGTGTGGTCTCGAGCTGACTCTGGAGGAGAAAGATGCGGAAATGGTTGTCATTGGCTTTAACAGGGATTGTGTTACATTGAGTTGCTCAGCATGTTCAAATTGTTGGATTTTTGGCAATAATTGCAATATGTGAGCCAACTCAGGATCACTTTTGGTTCACAATATGAAGTTTTAATAATAGAACAGGTTATTTGCTTGTGTCACAGCAAGTGGGAGAAAAAATCGAGAGGTACTATTAAAAAATGTTATCTAATAAAAGTGTGCAGAATAGTGAAGTTCGTTTGAATCCAGATAAAAATCTGGATATCATTTTTGCTTTTTAACCAACTTTCAACTTATCAGAATAAGAAAATTAGCCGTATCTTGAGGATCCTATTGAGAGTGAAAGACTACATTGCAGTTAAAGGAAAAAGAAAATCTGAGCTCTATCGCCACATAGAAATATAAGCTTTTGGAATGTTATCTGATTTTTATTGATTTTTATTAAAATGCGAATTGTATGTACTGTTGCATTGGCTCATACTTAAGTTGATCCATCAAGGAAGAAATTGTTCCTTTTTATTTCTCAAGATAAAATAGTCAAATATCTTCCATGTTTTACAGGGCGTCAGGCAGGCAACATTCATTTTTGTCTCCATCTCCTTTTAGGGATTCTGATTCAGAAAGAATCAAAATTTCAGCATGCAGTTATTTGTAACGTGTTTTCAACGCATGTTCTTAATAGGCGTATTTTGCAAGTTTCAATGTCATATCTTTTTTTCATAACATCAACTTGGTCAAGAGCAGGAAAAATCTGATCTATAGAACTGGTTATAATACCATGCTTGAAAGACTTTTCCAGCTTACCCTTTCCACTTTATTGCAGTTTCTTGTTCTTTTACTTTTTGTCCTAATCAAACATGCATAACATGTTCAGAAAAAAATTCTAACCAGCTTATCTCCATGCCTCTCATGCCATCGAAGAAAGACCTGCAGCACCTCCATGTGTGTATTTATAGGAATTTTCTTATATTCTTCATTTTGACTGTCACCTGGAACATGTATGTATAGTATGTTTAGTAGTGCAGATTCACTTAGAGTTTTTAAGATTCTTATATCACAACAGCACCAAGGAATAAATGTGAGAATTGCTTTGTGTTGTTGATCAGGGAAAATGTAAGAAGCCTTCTCTAATGTGCGTATTCTGCAAATAAGCAAAGGATTTGAGTCCTCATGATAGTCATTATCATATATTTCATCAGCACTGAGCTCATAAAAGAAAAATGAGTATATGAGATCAACGATGTTTTTTTAGAAGGCTTTAGATTCCTACAAATAATCAGTAGTTATCTAATAACTTACATATTTAATTTTTGCTTCAAAATAATTCTTGTTGCTCAGGTACTCTTTTTTCTAAGTGACTTAGACCAAATAAAGTATTACCTGAATCGTTCATTTCCGCTGAAATGCGCACATATTTTAAGATAACATACAAAAAGCTGGCTCTAAAGATTACAGGAATACTGTAATTCCAAAGTTAATGAAGCATAGTATTTAGAAATAAATTATTTATTTAGGTGTGTAAAACCAAAACAGTTAAGTAGCTGTAAAAATAGCTAAACATGCATTAGCTAATCATTCTTTGCATGTATGTATGTGTTTGTAGGAGTTTCAGCTACTGGGAAGCATGGCCTGCATCACACTATACACAAATGTTCTTTACAAAAATTTCTTGTTCGCAGCTTCAAGCAGACAGGCTTTTTCAGAATAGGCTTCAAAGATGGGCAGAGGGGTTACAAACTGAGGCACCGCTCTACAGCAAGTCATTGTTGAGGATGGCTGGATTCTTGGTTCTTGTTGGTGGAAATGGACATTTCAAGGCCTCTCGTCTTCATGTGGTGTCAAGCTGTTAAGTTGTTGCAATCAATTTAATTCTTTTCATTTCCTTAGTTAGTATTCAAATGCAGCATCAGAAAGCAAATAAGCAAGTGATGGAAACGTATTTAAGTATTCTGAAGCAACAAAGTGCAGTAACTATACCTCTGACACCTTGCCTTCATCATATACTCTTCTGAACTCGAGATCCTGTACACACTGTTCTCTTTTAGATTGTATTTGCTTCAGATAGGAGTTTATGACATTGTCAGTCTATTAATAACATAAAAGAAAGACCTATCCCTGGTACCTTAGTTTGGTATCGATTGAGGGTATGATGTACATGCCTGTAAGCAGAAATTCATTCTTTGTTTTGTAAAATAAACTATTCCTTTGTGCTTCTGCTCAGCTCTACAGGTTAGGATCCACTGGAGCTTTAACTGCTTTCTGTAGAGTAAATGATGAGTCAGGATAACGGAGCTACATTCTTGTTTAAAATTATAGTAGTGCTAAAGATAGAGGCACGACTCTGAATAAAGGGCTTGAAACCATATGGAGTAAAGCCAATCACAAATTTTCTTCAAGTTCCTGTGGGTTTTATGTTGGGCTCTTATGCTTTGATGGTGGTTATCCTCAAAAGTAAAATAAATTTTGCACAATAAGTAAAAGCACTCTTAGTTTTGCTTGGAACTTAAAAAGAAATTGAATTGGGAAAGAAGAATGCCCCCTATACAGAGATCCTGTGTTCATTGCTGCTTTCATCTTTTACTGTTTACGGTATTTTGCAATTAATATGACTAGCTGGTCACAGAGGAGGAAAAACATTCAAACCCATAAAATTTCTACTTTTTAATTCTAAGCAAAAAAGGGTATTCTGGAGATTTATTTCAGTATGCAGTTCAGCCCTTCACCCTTAAATGAAAAGAAATTCTCATGTTATGTTTAGTTATGGGTGTTGGTTAAACAACAAAATAGTCTCTATTTTGAACTCCTGCCACTTAAAAATTTCAGATTGTTGTGCTTCTCGCTTGGCTGTACCTTCAGCCACACGCCCCCTTTATTGCAGCTCCTCCATAGGAAAAGAATGAAATGAGGAGATAGGACCCTCTTAAGAAAACAGATTTTGAAGAATTGTCACTATGAACTTATTGGTGGTCAATTTGAAACAAATCTCTGAAACTCTCCGGTGAGAATACCTGGACAGGAGGAGGGGTGAGTTTTGGGAGTAGCAGAGTTTCCCCAATGCCTGCTGGAAAGGCATCCTGGGAAGTTCAGCTCTCCAGTCACCCACTCACAAAACTGCTGCTCTCAGCAGTGGTGGCAGGTTGCGGTTTCAACGTTTCTGAGTTGTTTTCTTTGCTGTTTGGGTGCCGTTTTTAAGGATGCTAATACAGCGGCTTGGAAGGTGGTTGATACAGTTGCAATAAAATGCAACTGTGCATCAGAACAGTAGACATACCTGGGAACTCATTGCATCTAGTTGCAAATAAATAACCTTGATGAAACATGACCTCTTCTAATGATCTAAATGTTGCAGTAAGAGTGTATATGAAGGGTTATTACTCTTTCTCCTTTTGCCCAGCGGGAAAAGAATTAGAGATAATTGATGCACCAATTCATGCCTTAGTGATAGTCATTCAGGGCTATATTCATATCACTTCTCAGAAGCTGTTAGTGTCTGCTCTGGCGTTGAGTATCAGGCACGATTCAAGCTCCCACTGCCAGGGGTGTCAGCTCCTAGTTTGTATACCGTCAAGGAGAGAAGCAGATACAGTGTTAGATACAGTGTTCAGGATGTATAACCTAAGTGACAGAATATTGCAGTCAGATTTTCTGCCCTAGTTCTGTAAATATGTAAAAACTTTTTATCTTTCCTTTTTGCTTTTCTTCAGATGAAAGTATTTGATATTTGTGAAAAGGTTAATATTCTGTTTGTAAAAGTATTATTTCTAACCTACATTTCTGCGATTCTGACTGACTGTTCTGGATTGGCGTTACGCCCGCATAGAAATAAATGATTTGGATTCAACTATTCAGAAATTTTTTTATCATTATTATTTAGACATATGTAGCTTGCCTAGCTTAATTTGTAGTGCCTTTAACTGGTAAACGTTAGAAATGTTAGATGTTAGAAATGTCTCAGTTATGAGGTGGATTCACAATTTAGATTTTTAGGCAAGAAAAAAAAAAGCTGTGGTTTCTATAGCAATAATTCATTTGCCAGCCTGGAAGAACACAATGATTCTTTAGGAAACTGTTTCTCTTTACATGATCCACATAATATGTAGCATGTGTAAGTGGTAATTTTGATGCTGTACGATGTTGTGATTATTTAACTTCCTCAAATTATTTTCCAAGAAAAAATTGGAAGATTAGAAAGAGATTGTCTCTGCCTGATTGTGGTAATCCTTCAGTGGTCCCTGTTGGGCTTTGAAGCTTTCAATTCCTTGAAACAGGCAGGGCTGAGATTCACACTGAGGCTTAGCAGATTGCTTTTTTGTCAGCAAGGCAGTAGCATATACCTTTACATTTCACTTGGCTATCTTCCTGCCTTACAGCTTAGAGTTTACAGAATGCAGGGAAAACCAAAATTGAAATTGCTATTCTTGCTTCCTTTTGGAACTGCTCATGATTTTTCTGTTATTTTTTTAATAATGGTAAGATTTTTGACACGTACTCTGTCTTCCCTTCAAGACAGCTGTGGTCTCTTGTGTGCAAACTGCCTTACCAGCAATCCCTATGGTTGCCAGGCTGGCAGGAAGAATGTGGCATGTGTAAAGTGTTGCAGGGAAAGGATTTTTTTGGTCTGTGCTAGAATCTCATGATTCCATTAAGTATATGTAGAAGTGATTTCTCCCCACCCCCATGGCCCTAAGTTTACTTTCTTTTCATGGTTTCCACTTGAACAGAACACAAGCTTTATTTCCCATTGTGGACTGCATAACATAAAGTTCAGTTAACATAAAGTTCAGCAGTCTTTATTTGCGTGAGGATAAAAAATACCTGGGAAGTGTATGTTCAAGGAATTATGCAAGTGACTCTAAAATATTTCTGAATGTGAGCTGAAAGCAAGCATCAGAACTTGATTGCTAAAGGAATTATATCTTAGCATAAAGAATAAGAGCGACTGGTGAAAGAACCATTTTGCAACTTGAGTTGTAGTTTGAGGGGGGGGAGGAGGAGGAATTAGTCAAAATAAACTCTAGAGTTCCTGTGGCTGCCTCAGTCCTGAAAATAACAGAATTTTTCTGTATTAGAGCTATATATTAAGTGTAGTGGTATTTTTGTTTTGGGAATCTTGCTTGTGTTTTCTGTCATGGGTTCAGATTTTCCCTGACCTGTATTTACTTTTTCTTCTCTTGAGATACTCCGTTCACGAGGGTATTATCCTTAGGAGGGTAGCCCGGGCTGCCTTAACTGCTGTATCTAAACTTGCTCGATATCCTGATTCCACTGTTGGATAGACTTTTGTTTTCTGGATGCTTCACCGTTATATGGGGGTGAAGGGCCAAATGGGAAGTGGTTTGGGTTTAAATTTTGCTGTTAGACTTTTGTACAAATAAACTGTTACTTTGCATATTTTGTTTTCATTGTGACTCCATTTGTTTTCACAGCCTGAGGAAGAGCTTGATCCTGAAGAGAGGGACAACTTCCTCCAACAGCTTTATAAGTTTATGGAAGACAGAGGTAACATAGGTTTTTTTTTTTCTTTTTTTATCTGTAGTCTACTTTCAAAATGTTGTAGAGGTTGCTTTTAAATGTAATGGATTTTATTATGGGTGCATTCTCACGTCAGTGAGCAAGGATAACAGCTAGTGCAAGGAAAAATACCCGTTTTCACATGTGGCAGATCTCCTTCAATTACTTTGAAGCACAGTGCACAAAGGAAACGCAAATCCTCCCTGAGGTGTTTTGTTTTGTTTTGCTTTTACAAAACCTTTTTTTTGTGTTAACAATCCCTGTTAAATAAGCTCTTGGTTTCTTGTTGTGACAGCCATGGCTGGGAACTCTGGTGCTGTTAATCTCAGGCTGAACCTGAGGAGGCTGTTTGTGGATGGTGAGGTTCATCCAGCAGAGAATGGGAGATATGCCATCTTCAGGTCTCCTTGCAGAACTCTTAATTATGCACAGAGACAGCGTTGATACTCACCTGAAGAGACAATTTAAAATACTTTGTCCGGTAGTTAGAACAAGGGCATAACAAATTTTAAATGTTTTTCTTTGCAGAATTAGGGGAGACTTATAAACTAGAATAGTTAAAGTCCTGGGGCAAGAAATATGTTGGAAGTGCATGTGCTGCATATAGATAGAGAGCAGGATATACCTGCTGACTTAGGAGAACTGCTATTGCAGAAGCTGTTCACATTTGCAGTTGTGAGGAGACTTGCACTAAAAGGGAAGGTTGTCTATTCCTATTAACTTGGCTTCCCCTCCTCCTCCTGTTTTTTTCCCCCCAAGAACGTTTAAGGCTGGAAATGCTTTATCTTTTAGACCATGTTTATTTGACTCGTTTTATTCTGGGAAGTGGCTATTTTAGTTTGAATACAGAAAGCGTTAATATCGAAATAAAGTAAGTGGAGGTAGATTACAAATGCAACTACTGCCTTCCCTTCCTTTCCTCCCCCCTGTTTATTCCCCCAGTCTCCCTCCCCTCCCCCAAATTATCTGCATAACATTTCCACAGCATCATATAGCACAGCAATGTGCATGTACTTCAATTTGGTATAACCAGAGCTGAGAGAAGTAAAATGTACAATGCATGTAATATTGGAATGTTTTCCTTTTGAAAGTACACCTTTTCTTAGATTTTAAATTTAAAAAAAAGAAAGATGGTTACCTTTGTTAAGGACGCTCTGCATTCCTTTCAACCAAGTGTATTCCAAACAACAGAGTCCTGAAAGAGTGGTTCCAAGCCTGTTCAATCTTGCCATTGCTTATCATAGATTTAGAAATGGGTCCTGTATTATGGCAAGGTATACTGGAGTTTATCCAATATCCTTTTAAGGCCATACTGTATAGAACCAGTGTTTCCGGAGAATAGCTTGCCTTGGAGGAATAAGGGGCTATGTCTGGAAAAGAAATTTGCAGAGGCATTCCCCTTTTTGCTTTCTTTTCTAGTAGTCTAATTCTTTCCTACTTTCTATTTTCCTGCTTCCTTACTCCTTTTCTTAAGCATTGTTAATATAGGAAACAAGCAGAGAGATGATGTCAGTGGCTTGCAGGGACAGAGGAGAAAGAAGAAAGTATTTGTGCACTAAATTTCAAGACTGAGTCCAGAAACTGTTTTTTTAACAGATATGTTGATGGAGCAATGTACTTTTTTCCTTCCTCCCCCACCACAGCAACATTCCCATTTCTACTAGATTTGTTCTACACAGTCTTCTGTCAGTAGGAAGATTTTGATTCATGTAATCATGACAGTATTCCCAAAGTCCCATAAAATTATCTTCGTAATGCCAGATGTAATTGCATGAAGATGAAGGGAGATGGGAAACAGCAGGGAAGAGGTTTGATAATCATCCTTGCTGGGAGGACCAGTGTCTGCATACTTATAACCGCTTGCCCCTAAGTCACTTCTGGTTTCTTCAGTAATTAATTGTCGTTCTTTATATCATTACCACTCATCTGATTTGAGTTCTTTCTTTTTCCCACAACTGCCCCAAATATTTATGTCCTGTTGGGGCTTTGTGCTACTTCACATTCTGACTGTTTGCCTGTTTTCTAATCCAGTGTTCCTGCTTCTTCCCAGTTCCTTTCAGACCAAAGTGTTTTGAGTTAATCTTGTTGCGCATTACTATATTCCAGCATTCATCAGGCAGTCTGTAGTGTTTGTTCCAAGTGTGTCTGCCTCCCACCAAGAGAGGAAAAGTGAGGTGCGACCAACTGGACGGAGATTACACAAATCTGAAAAGGAGTTTAGGAAATCGGTTATCAAGGAGCTGGTGCCAGAATACTAGTAAACCACCCAGAAATATGTGATGTGGTCAGGGGGGAAAAAAAAAAAAGGGCGCAAGGCATTAATCATGGGTTGGAAACTATTGACTTGCAACATATCTTAGACGTGTTGAGTAGCAATGTTAAACTGTAAAAGGATATTAATTATCACACGTATGCTAAAGGAATGGAAGAACAGTTTGCTGTTCTGTGTGGTAACTTTTTAATCTCTATTTTGTTTTATTTAGGTACTCCTATCAATAAGCCACCTGTTCTGGGCTACAAGGACCTTAATCTTTTCAAACTTTTTAGATTGGTGTATCAGCAGGGCGGGTGTGACAATGTAAGTGTCAAATATTTCCTAAGCAAAACATGTCTCATCATCCTTAAAAGCTGTGACCTGTATCTGCATTAAATGTAATTCTTTTAGTATTGTTAGTTAACAGAACATGAAAATCTTTTTTTTTTCCTCCCTGTCTCCCCCCGCCCCATCCTCCAGATTGAGAGTGGTGCTGTATGGAAGCAAATTTATATGGACCTTGGCATTCCTATTTTGAATTCAGCTGCTTCCTACAATGTAAAAACTGCTTATAGAAAGTAAGTTCTTCTGTTGTATGATGGTGATACATTTTTTAATAGCATGAGCAGTATTCAAGCAATTTCTGGTAGATTAATGGAACAGTAGTTAACTTTCTTCAGTTTACGAGTAATTCTGAGCGTTTTTCAGTGCCACAGATTGCAATTGTGGGGCAAGGAAGGAGTGCTCGGGCCCGCGTAAGATCCTGTTGCTACAATACGTTACAGTTCAGCTCATTTTCTTATCATGAGGCATTCATTGTCACCACGTGATGATGCCATTTCAGAGTATAACAGTTACATTTATTAAAATAAAAGAAAAGCTTTGGCAAATTCAGCTTTGCAGTTGATGGGGATTAACAAGAAAGGACTCTCTCCTCAGTTGCATGCTCATTGACACCTGGGAAGACTGCATGCAGTGAGCAGAATTCTACCAGTTCCTTTAGCTTCCTGTAAAATGTTGGTACAGACAGACATGTTTCAGATTGCATATCAAAATATCGTATCTCTGTGGATCTGTAGAAGCATGGCTCCGGGGCATAATAATGAACGTTGCTATCATAGATGTGACAGTATTGAATAGTAATTACTACTGTAATAAAACTGCATAAATCTTTTTATTCTGACCCCTGGTTTTCAGTTGTGTTTTAAATTTTGAAATGGAAACCTTTTAGGGATGACATTTTTCAGGCTCATTTTCTGAATAAAGATTATTTTTATTATTTATTCTCCTGAAAGTTTGAACAAGAAACAATTGGGCTTTTTGAGTAAAAGGGAAGAATGAGGTTCTCTGACTCGAAACTAAGGAAATTTGGCTGATTGAATAGGGATGACTAATGACTCAACTCATGTTAATGTTGATGAAGATGAAAATATTCAGACTATCTTCAATGGGATTTGAACTGGGCACATATTTAAGGTCTGTATTTTACAGAGAAGAGTATGTATCGTAAAAGAGAGTAATTGGTAAATATGTGCTAAGTTGCTGTTACAGTGGAAATAATTATGTTGTATGGGCACATGCTAGTGTGTTGGAATTTGTATATCTGTTCTTTGCGGGATAAGCTTGTTGTATTCCTGCCTATAACTGGATTAGTGTATGCACACAGGCAGTTAGCAGAGAACAAGCTGATGCATGGCAATTTGTTACCAAGTGGTAACTTGTTTGTATGCCCATATTCTGATACTAGGCTGATTTTTAGCCGTCACTGTGCATCTGAAAAACAATGTACATGTTCTTAGGCTTTACTGCCATTAATTCTTAATTGGATGGGGGTAACGTTAAATTCACGGAAAGCACTTGTGTGTACATGCAGTGTTTTCTTTCTCACTGCTTGATTTGTGTGTTTAATTGTTTCATTTCAAAGTCCCTCCCCACCCCCCCAACCCCCTGAAGTTACTGGTCCTCTTGCTTTTCTGTGAGCAGGAAAATAGATTTTATGCACTTCACTAAATAGAAAATAAAACAGTGAAAATATAAATGAAACTTCATTTGTACATATAGGTATCTTTATGGTTTTGAAGAGTACTGCCGTTCTGCAAACATTGAGTTTAGGACTATCCATCACAATGAACCAAAAGTGGTAGAAGACATAGAGAAACACGAAGAACCAATGGAGGAAAGTGTAAAAGAAGAACAAAACATGTCCCCAACAGAAGTAAAGAAAGAAGTAGAAGAAAATTATTCCAGCAGTGAAAGTGAAAAAGAAGAAATAGAAGTAAGATCCCCAAGGGTAAGTAGCTTGAACTGCTTTCTATTTAGTACTTAACAAAACCCCTTTGTACACTGAACAGTTTACATAATGAGTTTTCCTTTGTGGACTGATTGTACGTTTGAATTAGCATACTTGTACAAGCGTAGGGCCGGGTTCTGTGAACCCAAGAGTTCGTGTTCAATTGTTAATTGTGTTCTACCTGTGAAATAGAATCAGTTTTGATTATTTCTTTGTATTCTAAACCATCTATGGAATTTGCTCAGGCCGTGTTTTATGTCAGACATCTTTCCGTTCAGGAATCGCTTGAGAGCTAGTGAGAGCTGTATTTCATCAGAGGTATAACTCAGCAGTAGAGTTTGGGTTGTGGGTGAGAATTTCCACTGAGACATGGAACCTGGAGCCGCTTTCCTGCGGGAAGCCGGAATGGTCAAGGAGGTGCTACAGCTCTGAGAATCAAAGGAAGACCCATTTTTCTGGAGTTGATTTTTCTCGCAATATCCCTTCTTTTAATAAGAGGAACCCTCAATTTTTACAGTATGCAGACAAAAGAAGAGAGAGAACTTGCTTCATTTATGTCTTCCTCTATCTGCTGTAGAGAGGAGGGTTGTGTTGGTAGTTACATAGGTAAGACCAGTGACCTACCAGCTAGTGGGTATTTAGCGTGATGGAGAGTACAATAATACTTTAAAGGTATTTTTAGCTTTGCGTGGAACAAGAGTATGACTGACTGCTCTGTAGTGCTCTTACTGATTTGGTTAATAAGTCATTATGGGTTTCTTGGTAGAAAGAGATCATTGAAGGAAAAGGAAACGCTACTTTTACCTATGTGTTGGGAGGATAAAGGAATATAATAATTTTCTTTAATCATCAGCTCTCTATATTTGTTAATAATTAAATATTGTTTGAATATGTGTTTTGTTACTTTATTAATCCTATAATAGTGCCTTCATTTATAGTGCCTTCATTTTTGTCGTCTTTGGATGGCCTCTGAATAATTTATAATGTGTTTTATTTATAATAAACACATTTTTAAAACACGTTACTTCTAGCGTGTTTTAAATATGATTATTACAAAGCAATGACCCTATCCAAAAGACTTTTAATAATAAAATAGTAAACCTATAGTAGACCACCAAGAAACAGTCACAGAAAGTCCTGGAGAGCAGTTGTCCAGCTATTTGAAGTACCTTTTAAAGTACCTTAGTACTTTCAAAGTACCTTATCTGTGCACTACAGTTTTGGGGTTTTTTGTTTGTTTTTTTGTTTTGTTGTGTTTTTGAAAGCTGTTAGGTTTGTATTCCTTGAAATCAACAGGGGGAGATGAGGATTGAAGACAATAGAACTAAGATGCCTTGTCTCAGTAGCCCTATACACACATGTACTTGATTCTATAGCTCTGGTCAACCAAAGAAGAATTTTATCGTTTTGTATCAGGGGCAGCAGTCCTAATGGGTCTAACCAAATGTCTTAAAACCCCGTAGAAGCCAACTGGAAACTAGTTGTCCCTATTTCAATCCAAACTCTGTGTTTCTGTTTTTTTTTTTCCTTGATAACAAGACTATTTAAATTAGTAGTGTGTGATTACAGAAAAAAATCACTTTTTGGTGTTATCTGCAGCTTTCTTCTGTACAGGAATAGTATGCCTCATTTCGAACTGAGGTTTGGAGAGGCTATGCAGAGAACAAAGTGCCAGTAGTCATTAAACAGATTTTATTTCTGTCCTAGGGGCGGAGAAGACTTGCCCGTGATACAACCCCTGCTAAAAAAGATAGTGAAGAGGATAAAACACAAGACAAATTAAAAGACTATAATAAAGAAAATAAAGATATAGAGGAAACAGCACCTGAGACTGCAGAAAAAAAAGAAAATGAAACTCCACTAGGGAGAAAAAGTACACCAAAGCAAAAAGAGAAAAAAATGAAAAAACAGGAGGAATCTGACAAAGAGTCTGATGAAGAAGAAGAGAGGCAGAGGGAGAGGTAAACGTCAACTTACCTCACTTTATTGTGAATCTAGCTGTGTTGTGATAGAGCCATACCCCAAACAATGGTATACACAGAACTGAAGATACGTTCAGTTTCTAAAATGCGGGGACCTATTTCACTCAGGCAGGCAAGAAGGGGAACATTGCATTTCCAGCCTATAGAGTCTACTATACTTTATCAGAAAGGATACTTTCTGGCAGATGCCAGTCAGTATTTTCACTGTAATTTTCTTGAAGGTCCTGCCAGGACAAAATGCTTAAAGTTTTGGAGGCTTTGTTTGCAAGAGTGGTGTCCTGAACAGCCAAATCACTCGTTCAGCCCTCATTCCAGCTACACCTCTGAGCCCGTATGGCTTGCCATGCTGGCATTTCTCTGTGGAAGCATGCAGTTGCATTGTTCCTTTTTATGTATTCCAGCTGGTCGCTCGTTCATATTAGTGTTTTATTATGTACAGGCAACAACAAGTAGAGCAGGGTACAAGTATGCCAGGTGCTCTGTGGATGGTGAGCAGCTGTTCTGGGCAGTTAAAATACAAATGGACAAGATAGCCCCTCTTCTCACGCGTTTTGTTTTGTTTTTTGTTTTGTTTTTTGTTTTGTTTTAGTGGTTAGTGATTACTGGTGCACCTACTTAGTGGTTAGTGATGGCTGGTGCACCTACAGTCCCTTTGTTTTTGTTGTTACTTGAATGTATTGTAGGAAGGCTGGGGGCCAGAACTAATAAAAGCAAAAGAGAAGGAAAGAAGGGGCTTGAATGAAACCTGGAGATAAACTGAAGAGGATGCGATGAAGAGAGGAAAGATAGAATGCCTGAGAACAGTGGATGGATGAGGAAATACTGGAGGAAAAGAAACCATCTGCCAAGGGAAAAAATAGCTTGCAAAGAATAAGTTTTACAGGTTGAACTGGTTTTATGATCTTGGTGGCAAGCAAGTTGTCACCAGGTGACCAAGCTATCACCAAAGTTGAGTAGATCTCTTAGCTAACCCTGACACTGCTCAGGGACAGCATTTTATATATGCTTAAGCTGGCTTTCCTACGTTGTTTTTCTTGTTCATGTGACTAGACACAAGGTGATACTGAGAAAGCCTAGTAGGTGCATTGCATGTTTTATTCTAAAGAGCTTTGAGAAATGGGAATGGCACACAATTATTTTAAACGGCACTGTGGTCCAAAGAAAAATATTGCAGTATACCATAGCGCACAGAAATTCACACAAAGGAGGGTACAGTGTGGGTGTGCAGGAGGCTGCTGAGGTGTGTCAGATAACTTAAGACACCAAAGACAGTTTTCTTTCAGGTGGTGGGTACCTGTCATCTTTCCTTTCTCTTTTAATTTTATGCCACAGCAAGATAGCTCATTTTTCACCAGAGGCTAGCAAATACTTTTATTATTATTAAAAGCAAACCCATGTTCTCTTTCAATATTTTCTTTCTTCATGACTGTAAGTGTTTAACTTTTACTTTATTCAAAATTCACCCTAAAAATAGAAAGAGAGAAAAATAGGTAAATAGATTAGACTGATTGTTGAAAATATGTTTTAACAGGCTGGTTTAAATACTAGATCAAGCTAATAGAAGCTGTGTGGGCAATTTTAGTCTTAGTCGAAAACATTTGTCCTAATCAATGTTTGCTTCAGTGGAGTGATGTTTATATTCATGAAGAGATCGCTATGATGGCAATCCAGACCAGTAGTACATTGTTAAGCAAACTGTAAAATCAGGGATTTTTTTAAAATGGTGTGTTAAAAGAAAATATTTTTAAAAGTCAGCTCTTCCTGTTTTATTTAAGAGCAGAACAGTGAATTAATTTGCTTTCCTTTTTTGTGCTATCAAAATATCTATTCTGAAAAAGCTTCAGGCTTTGAGATGGTTGCACACATAATAAATTGTCTTAAAATCTGATATTTTAATTTTTCTAGATGTTCTTGGCACTTACCTCTGTTCTATTTTGAATAGGTCATGTTTTTGATTGGAAAAAGCTATGTCCACACTAGTTTCAGACAGTGCAGCATACAGAAAATGAGAAAAAAATTTGCAGCCTTTTTCCTTTGTAATGTCTTGGCTATGCTAGTTAAATGTTAAAACTTTGCTCATCGCTAATTAGTGGACGCTTCAAATATGCTTTACTGCAGGGAGGAAATTGAAAACAAAGGAGACTCAGAAGGCGAAGAGGATGAGGAGGATGCAGAGCCCTGCCTGACTGGAACCAAAGTGAAAGTAAAATACGGACGTGGGAAAACTCAGAAAATTTATGAAGCTAGTATTAAAAGCACAGAAATTGATGATGGAGAGGTTTTATATTTAGTTCATTACTATGGTTGGAATGTAAGGTGAGAAGGACAAATTGCCTTTAATTTTGTTGTTGTTGTTGTTAAAAAGATTGGTATTTGCAAAAGTATGTTTGTTTTTAAGAGAGCAAGACAATCAGTGACTTGACTCCAAACTGAATTAGCAACATGTTAGCAGGATCTGACTCTATCACGTTTTCCAGTGTTATTAATTTTGTTCATGGTATGATTCTGTTGTATTGAAATCTTCAGAATGTACTTATTTATATATTTTCAAGTTTTCGTCCTGCTTAGAGTAGTAATCCTGTTAACTTTAGTGGGTGTATCCCTGTAATTTGTGTCAACTAATGTTAGCAACATCAGAGTTGTATTTAGAAGACTCACCGATAATAGTGAAGAAATCTGCAAAAACAAAAAAAGAGTATCAAGCACTGAAATTTTGGCAATAGAAATTATTCTTGTGTTGAATGTTAATTGTGATTATAAGGAGCAGTTGTTACGTAGAGAGGGGAGGAGAGAGCTAAACAGCAACGAACTACAGAAAGAAAACCCTCACATGCTTCTCTTGGCAGCTGTGCTCTATATTTAATACTGCTGTAAAAATGGCTTTTTTCTTTTTCTTAAGATACTGTGGTCATATACACAAAAATATAACAAAAGTGATCATATTTTATGTACCCAAGAAAGTTGTGTTTTAAAACTTGAGACTCACCTAATCCATAAGCTTCTAAGTAAACTAGCCAATTTTCTTTATGTGGCAACATAATGCATGTTTGTGGGTTTTTTTTTTTGCCCCCTAAATATTTGTGTGGTCCTTCTTTACCATATTAATAACTCGAGAGATCTTGAGGAGCACTGGTGGCACATTTGTGCTTTTCAGAATCTAGTTTGTTGCCATAATCTTAAAACTTTCTCTCAAAAAAACAAATAGGGTATGTTTTACTGTTGGGCCATCCATCAGAGGCACGAAGTGCTGAAAACTGACTTTCTGTACGTCATGTGAAACTATTGACAAACATTGTAGCTGGTTCAGCAAAGCACTGGAAGTCAGGTGACTAGCAGGAGACCAGGAAGCTTGCACCTCCGTTCTCCCCCTCTTTACTCCCCTGCCAGTTTTCTTGCTGATAATTTTTATGGGTTACAAATTTAACATATTTTTCTAGTACCCGCTACCACGTGTATTGGCGAATATGTGCTCTACGTTCCTTCCTTTCTTCAATAGATATTTTCTATAATTCAGTTGTTTATACCTCGAATTGGAAACAACTTTTTTTATGCACTCATAACAGTATGTTACTTACCTTTAGATATGATGAATGGGTGAAAGCTGATCGGATTATCTGGCCTTTGGACAAAGGAGGACCAAAGAGAAAGCAGAAGAAAAAAGCAAAAGTAATATATATCAATAAGTTTCTTATGATACTATATGTGCTGACTATCCCTGTTCCTTTTTTTCCCCCTTCAATAAAAGTTATTCAGTCTCCAGTCTATTTTTTAATAGATGGGCAGAGCAAAAGGAAAGAAAACTTGATGATCATCCATGAAGCATGCTAATGAAATACTCAATTTTTTGCCCTCAGAATAAAGATGACAGTGAAAAAGATGAAAAGAAAGATGAGGAGAAACAAAAGTCAAAGCGTGGGCGACCTCCTCTGAAATCTACTCTTCTATCAAACACATCTTGCAGTTTATCCAAAACACCGAATAGTGAAGGTAAATCAGGAGCCAGAAGTGCACGGAGCAATTTGTCAGATTCCTCGCCACTACCAAATGGACTAGAAGGTACATCTGGTGCACCCTCGTTCTGGCATAGAAGTGCATGTAAACAGTGCTTTAATACTATGCATTAATACGACGATTTCAGTGAACGCAGTGCTGTCAGCAGCTTTAAAGTCCTATTTAACCAGCCAGTGTACTAGCAATATAACAAAACAAATTTTTGGTGCAGATTTTACTCTATAAACATTAATACTTTTGATTTTGATTTTTAGCAGCACCTCGCAGGCAGACGAGACGTAGCTCAGGAATGTTTGATTCTGATAGAGGATCAAACGGTGAGTGATCTCAGTCCTGTGTATGGTTTTTTGTTTTTTTTTTTTTCTTTGTTGAGGGTTTTTTTAGTACCTTTTTCAAAAGAGGTTTATTTTTATTTTTTTCTCCTTGTGAATTTTATTGAGGAGTAGTTGCGCTGACGCTGCTGAAGAGCACAGTTTTCTTGCAGAAGAGCTATGGCATAGAAATGACTCTGCAAGTCATCTGGTATTCTTTAGCCAGAGCCTTTCAGTCCTTATCCTGAGCTGACCAAGTCTAGTGGCACAATGATAGTCCTTACTATGGTAACTAAGTTCACTGAATGATGCAGTACTGAGGTTGAGAAGCTCTTAATTATGTACAGATGACAGCAATATTTTCAGTGGTTTCGAGCCTCTGTGAACAAGAACTGAAGAGAAATCACTGCCTCCTTTTAGTACAGGTCCCTGAATAATCTTCGGGTAACGTAATAACGCTTGCTCCGTATATGGTGCGTGATTTGTACAGTAGTTTAGCAATGTTCTGGTGCGGGTGGGTTTTTTTTTTTTGTTGTTTGTTTTTTGTAACCCCAGATGGGGGAGACAACATCTGTAGGTAAATAACAGGTAATAGAAAATCTGAAAAACTATTTTGCTTCTCTAAACTGTAATTTGTTTATATTGTCTAACTTTGGAAATAGTGAACACTACCAAAAATTACTTCCTAGTGAATAACTACTACTGTAGTTTCATAGAGCTCTTGAGTAGCAATAAGAACTGTAATAAGTGGGTTGACTAATGCAAGATTTTTTTGTTTACATTTTGAATTGTTTATTATCTTTGTAAAAATGATGTTGATGCCGTAGATTATTGGAGGGGAAGGTTTTTTGTAACTGAAAAAAGAAATTATGCTTTAATTGTTGATTTAGGGTGCTGTTTCCTTCTTTTTTACAATCTTTTGCAGAATCTGGCTCATCTGACAGTGAAGCAGATGAGTCATCTGAGAAGATTTTGAATGAAGAATTTTCTCCAGAAACTTCAGAACTGGAAAAAAATGAGAAACTAAATGATGAGAAGCTAGATGAAGAAAACCCAAAGATTCCTCATGCATTGAAAGAAAATGACAGGTCTCAAGTACAGCCATTAGAAACACTGAAACTGGAAGTTGAAGAAAGTGAACAAATTGTTCAGATTTTTGGAAATAAAACAGAACAAATGGAAGAAATCAAAAGAGAGGCTGAAAAATCACCGAAAGGGAAAGGCAGAAGGAGCAAGACAAAAGATCCCTGTTTAGAGAATACAAGGATTTCACCGGGAAGCCAAGAAGAGGTAGCAAATGAATCTCTTGTAGAATCTGAAAGATTAGACATGTCTTCCGTGGACTGTAGAGAGATTTCCAGCACTACTGAAAGCGAAACAGAACTTTGTACAAAAGATAAGAAACTTATGAAAAGGAAAACTGTGGAGCAGGCATCACCTGAGAAGAGAAATCGACGTGAGAGTGAGATGGAAGTGCCAAATATTGTATCTGAAGAGAGGACCAATGAATGTACTGGAGCAGAGGAATGTAAAGGGTTGAATGCTGAAGAGTCGCTCAGAACTGAAAATGAGGAAATGCCATCCTTAGTGGCAGAATCAGTTCAGCATGGTCAAGAACTGAGGAATGAAAACTATGAATGTCGGTCTGAAGAAAATGAGAATGTTCCCTTAAAAGATGAGGATGATGCAATGCCTCAGATTGGTCCCGAAACTTTACTCTGCCATGAAGTAGACTTGGATGACTTGGATGAAAAGGAGAAGAGCAGTAGTGAGGATACCGTATCAGAAAAGCCAGACCCTAATGCTTCAAATTCAAATCAGTCTGCCTTACCCCCTGCTGTCCATTCGAGCTTTTCAGTGGCTTCACCTCTTACTCTTAGTCAGGATGAATCGCGCAGTATCAAAAGTGAGAGTGACATGACTATTGAAGTTGACAGTGTGGCAGAAGAATCTCAAGAAGGTCTCTGTGAAAGCGAGTCTGCTAATGGATTTGAAGCCAGTACTACATCGAGCAGTTGTAGTATAGCAGTGCAAGAGAGAGAGATTGGAGAAAAGGGTGAGCATTTCCTGTGAAAACTCATTCTCAGCATGATTTTGTCAGGTGTTTTGGGTTTTTTTTGTTTGTTTGTTTGCTTGTTTCCTCCTAAAAATTACTGGTTTGTTTTGTCGTCTAGTTTTAAATCTTCTTGCTGCTTATAAAAAGAGCTTGATAGTAGCAGAAACATTTGAAGCTTTTTTGTTTGTTTCTTTTTTCACCTTTAGGTCAAAAAAGACCCAGTGATAGCAATAGTGGAACTCTGGCAAAAAAACAAAAGCGTACTCCAAAGCGAACAAGTGCTGCAGCCAAAAATGAAAAAAATGGAACAGGTACATTCCTAGAAAATAGTTGTGCTGTCATACAAATGTGCATAGGTAACCACCGTTCTCGTTGTTACTATTTCTGCTAGATCAAAATTGGAAGCTGAGTTGAGTAAGTCATTATATGCAGTGCCTTTAACAGTACTGTTAAAATTTGAAAGTATGAAACTAAAATATTGTCTGCCATACAATAGTCAAACGTATTTAACTGCTCATGTAAAACTTCCTGCAGTTATTGTCTAATATCCAAAATATTTATATAAGAATCATAGCTTAAAATTTTCTGTTAGCTGTTAAAGCTTTTATGCTTTTAGTCATATTTCAGAACCAATTTTTAGGTGTTTAAAGCAATTTCGTAGATAGTGGTATAAGTAAACGATCCTTTTTGAGTGTTCTGTATCTGTTGCCTCTTTTTTGAAGTGATCATGAGCTATCTACATATATTAATGCAGTTTTATTTTTAGAAAAGTGACTCTAGTGTCTTTTTTAAACTAAAAAATCTGTGACTTAAGACAGCTTATCAGTGCATTGATATTCTTATTTTGGAATAAGCTTCAATATTGTTTATGTAGAAAATCTTGACTTTAGCCCCTAGTCAGCCTTTGACTGCCCCCGTATTGACGATCAGCACGCTTGAGAATTCAGTGCATGTTGTATCCAATAAAGTTATGTACTAGATCTGATCTAGTTTATTTTCTGTGTGTATTGCAGGATCTTCTGAGTAAGCAAGAGCAGGGTTTTTTTCTTAAATAACTTTTCTGAGTATAGCTGAAACTTATTTTAAAAATGTCAAGGTTTTGTTTTGAAGTCCAAATGATTTCTCTCACTGCAGGACAAAGTAGCGACAGTGAAGACCTTCCTGTCCTGGACAGTGCAAGTAAATGTACTCCTGTAAAACACATAAATGCATCCAAACCACAGAAGATTTCTCGATCACCTGCAAGAGTGATTTCACCTCACATCAAAGATGGAGAAAAGGATAAACACAGAGAGAAACACCACCACCAGAATGCTTCCCCTAGAGTGTACAAGTGGAGTTTTCAGCTCAGTAAGAATTCTTTAAAATCATCTTAAACTTTGAAGCATGAAAATCAAACTTTATTGATTCAAGGTCTAGGACATTTACTATTCTAGAACAGGTTCAGCAAAGCCTCTAAAATGAATGGTTAATCTTGTTGTGAAGCTTTCCAGCTCACCCATTTTTAAAAAAATCATGTTTGAAATTGCCTGAGGTTTTTTTTCCCCTTCCTCCATTCAGTTGGCCCCAGGGATTTCTGATCATCTTCAGCAAAGTTTGGGATATGAAGCTCCCGTATGCCTCTAAAAACAGACAGACAAAAAGTAGCCTGAAATCCCAGCTTTCAGTGGCATGGTCAAGGCATTAAATTGCCTTTCTGGAGTCAGTGAGGCACTAGCTGCTACAATTGAGATTGTGATTGAAGAGGTAATGATGGAAGGACAGGGTAATAAGCAATTATTTGGTGTATTTTGTCTTTTTTTTTCTTTTACTTTTCTCCTTTATTGTTAGAAATACAGTCTAGAACTGAGGAATATTGAGACAGTTTTTTTGAGCCTGTCTGTTGAACTCTCAATTCCCCCAACGGTGCCTTATCGTTAATCATCTTTCATTAGGGGTGGGTTGTAATCTTCGGAAGAATATACGTAGTAGAACTTCCTCACAGTTAGCATGATTCTTGTTAATGTTTTCTGACAGATTTGAGCACCTTGGGTTAGAGGGAATTTACTAAGAAAGCTTATGTTCTGAAGGAAAAAATGTGTGGGTTGGGTTTTGATATTCTACATTAACACGATGCCAAAAAGGCATATATCTGTGGAAATATGTTATCTTTCACACTGCGTCATGTATACTCTGACAATTGCACTCATTTGTTTAAAATCACCTTGATAAAGGAGTATGTATGTCTTCTTTCTTTTCTTCCCACTTTTAAGATGAACTAGACAATATGAGTAGCACTGAAAGGATCTCCTTCTTGCAAGAAAAACTACAGGAAATCCGAAAATGTTATATGTCTCTGAAGTCAGAAGTAGCAACCATAGACAGGAGAAGAAAACGATTAAAAAAGAAAGATAGAGAAGGTAACTTTCAGATTTGCTTTGTGCTTCCCATGAGATGTCTGTTTTTGGAAAATACAGAACTCAAAGCAACTAGAATGTAATTGACAGTATTTTTGGAAAAAAAAAATAGTTTATCCTGTTTTTATCTACACATATTTAGAGAGAGCATCTGTGGCTTTTCAACACTTGAAGCTAACAAAAAGAGTCACTGACTATTTTATAATTGTGTGTTAAAAATTTGGACTTCCTAGTGCCAGCTAGATCTGAGTTTTCAATCAGTGTACTGGGTCATCTGATTTATCTTTTCAATTCATCTCTAATGCAGAAATGGTAAGGTTACTCATCCAGTTTATGCGAATATAATGATGAAAGCAATTAACAAAAAAAGTTCAGATCAATTTTTATTAGATGCAGAGTCTTTGAGGTCTTTTTAAAATCTGATAACCAAGCAAACCTTCATTCTGACATGCGCTTTGATAGGCTGATGCTGATGTGCTGTTCTGTATATTCAGTGTCACATACAGGAGCATCCATGTCATCTGCTTCATCAGACACTGGAATGAGTCCATCATCATCTTCTCCTCCACAAAACGTGCTTGCTGTAGAATGCAGGTGATACACATTTCTCTGCCTTGCCAGCAACTTGCTGCCATGGACATAAATTCTGAAATTCAACCACAGAAAGCACTCAACTGGTTTGACATTGCCAAGTATATTCTGTACACACTTCCACTGCTGGACTGTATCTGTTCTCCCCTCCTACCCTCTTTTTTTGTTTGTTTGTTTAATTTACTGTTCAGAGAAATTAAGCTCATTGCTAACTGAAGGTTTGTAGGCACAATGTGACATGCTTGTCATTGTGTTTGTTTTTGTTTTGTTTTTTTGTTAATACAGAGAAAGGGCACTTATCAAATTTGAAAAGTTATGTCCAATGAAGCATTCAGGTGTTCTAGGGAGATCATAGAAAAGCAAGTGCACCAAGCAGACATCAGAATATTATCAAAAAGAATTGAGTAACTGCTGCACTTTCACCGAGCTGTATGTTAACTCTTGGTGAGTAGTTCCTCTTTGTGGAAGCACTTGCTATACAGAACTGCCAAAGTATGTGTTCAGCAATGTGCCCAGTTATAAAGGTGTAAATGGGACAAAATAAATTGTGAAAGGAAGTGTAGTTGACTGAAAACTACAGTTGTAATAAGTCTTCCACTTTTTATAGGATTTTTGAGCACACAATTATGCAAATATTTTAATGTTTATTAATGTTTACAGTGGAATTGTGAATAGGTTTTCAGTGGACTATCTTATCCCTTGACAAAAATATTTTGTCTTTTTTCTATGTAATTTCAGAGTTTTTATTTTGTTACAAAAAGACGAAAAATGAAATATATAACAACAATGAAGTTATTTAACAAGATTTCTAAAGCTGAAATTTTTGTGTAAAATAAGGTATCTTGCAACTTGTTAAATATATTTATTCAGACATTGGATGTTGTATTTTTATGTATTTTTTAAAATATTAATAAAATTGGAAAAAAAAAATAGGTTAGTTCACTCTTTCGATAAAACGTACCTATCAGTTATGGCTCTTACAGGAGGTTTTATCCAGAAGCCATGCCTACATTTAAAGTGGGTCTGTCTGTGTATCCTCCACAACATAGATCTGTAACCGGGCATCTGGATTAAACTATGACTTTATTTGGAAACTTTGGCAGTCCTAGTACTTAACATTGTTTTGAGGAACAAAATTTATTGGGTTGCCCTTAAGATACTTTGTCACAAGTTTTTATGTTTGCTATACTGCCGAATGAATTTATATCTCCCAAAGTTGAGATGCAACAATAAAGTAAAGCAACTGTGTATGCTTTGTCTGTGGATTGTCCCACAGACAGATACAGTTTGTAAATAACTTCCAAAACCATGTATTTAAAACAGTTTGCATATACATTATGTATAAAGGTGATTTTTTTATCAATTTTTTTATTCATGTTTGTACATTGAAAGGGGTTCTTAACCCCCTTTTCTGTGTTTAATATGCTGTAGAGTAATAACATAGATGCTCTAGACTGTATATCAGGATATTCTGGTTCACACGGCAGAAAGTCAGAACGAAACACTAGTGATGGAGTAGCATTACTAAAATTGATGTTTCTTGAAACTTCATTTTACAACATTTGTCAACTTGTGATTCCAATTCCTTCCATTTTCGCAGAAAATTAAAGAAAAAGTACTCTTGTAAATGCACTTTTTCTGTCTTTTCTTAAGCAAAGCAGAACTATTTCAATGTAAGATAAATATGGAGCTCACTAGACAGCATTAATAAAGGCCATGTTTTAAACATAGGCTTTATATTCTATTTTTATTTAAATGATTGCTGTTGTAAATGTCCAAACTTACTTACCTAAATAGGAAAATTATTCTTCATAAATTGTTGTAAAGACTTTATTCAGAGCTAACTTTTACTGTTAATCTTATAATAGCTATGAATAAAAAGCAATACTCATTTTAAAAGAACTAACATGGGTCCCATTTTCTCAAATTATCTTCCATGTTTAATATTTGCAGAAGTACATTTTAATTTCAGTGAAATGATAGGGATTAATTTTTATCTTACGCAGATATCAAACTCCTGTTTACAGAGGCTACAAAAATCTTAAAATAAGCAGGCATTTACACACATACTCGACATGTGTACATGATGGATGAGCTCCTAACAGTCTTTACTTCAGCGTAGATGTTCCAAACGTATACACTGACTGCTTCTCCTTATCTTTTAGGAATCTTTAAAATGTTGCAAGGATATTGAAGGTATGGTTCCATCACACACACAAATACAATCTAACAGATGGCTGCCCCTTGAAACAGGGAAGACTTTCTTCCTTCTTCCCTGTTTCCAGCTGCTTACCTTGCACTAGTACTCGTTGGACACCCCTGTCCCCCCTGCCCCACCACCATAAGAACTAACATTACTATCCTTGCAGAAAACTAAACCTGCAGAAAAAGTGGATGACTTTCTGGCGAGCCTCTAGCATGTTACTGATTTCCTAGTTTTATCTTCCTGGCAAGAAGCATATCAGTTGGCCAGATTATTCAGTAGATGTTTAAACAGTGGGTGGTTTTTTTTTTTGTTATGTCATAAGAAACTATAGGGAAGGGAAAAGTACTACGTAACATGGTATTATCCTGTACTAAAAGGGAAATCAACAACAAACCCTACTAGGTCTTTCATTCCTAACTCCCGTTATAATCCTTTCACTTCTGCTTTGTTGACATAAAATTAATTCCAAAGTATCTTCCAATGCCTTGAATGTTTATGCTGTTGAGGGCAGAGTAATTATGATTACACTGGGAAAAAAAAAAAATGAAAGATTGGATATAGTGTTTGCAGGAGCAGTTAAAAATAAAGCACGCTCTTGGCAGTCTTCTCTCTTATTCTGCCTTTTAATCTTCTGTGGTTTTCTCAAAATTATATACTTTAGCTGAAGGTGAGCTAGGAGGGGAAAAATGCAAAGAATTACAGGATAAAAATCTGCTGTTAGAATTGTTAAAAAGAACAGTACTGTAAGAAAATTCAGACCTTTCCCCCACTTTCTGCAGTTTATACAAAGAGCTATCAGATCTCTGGCAGATACATTGCTTTAGACGATATTAGTGTGCGTCGGAAATTTGGAGAATGTATTTAACAGTAGTCAGAACACTTAGCATCTTGCGAATAGGTGGCTGCTTTTGTTTTTGATACTACTCAGTATTACCTTATATTAGCATAGTAAAAAGCCAATATAACCCCAACTTAAACATTTTGTATGCAAGGATATAAGGTGAGAAAAGATTAGTTTCTTTACTTGTTTTAGCTTTACTTTCCTTCCATAAAAGTGTATGCAACCTACTTATATACTAATGACTTTTTATTTTAACTTGAATGTATAAATTCCCAGTTAAATCTCTCCTTGTTTCTGTTTCCTCCATCAGATTGCTTGCATTTGAGAAACTTTCTCTTGCCTAATCAGTCTGAATAGATCACACAGGAGAAGCAAAGATGTTGGAACAACATTAATAAATCATTATTTCAACAGAAGTTAAACAGACTTTCAGTAACAGGAGTAAAAGAAAATTGTAACAAGGATAAAGAAAAGTGTGTATGTTCATGGAGTATAATATATTTGACTTTTGCAGGCAGAAGCAGAGACCTTTAATTTGAAGAACAGCAGTAGAGGAGAACAAGTGATGAAATCACTTCTTCACTGTTCATGGTATTTTGCACGTATCCCTTTTTTTTTTTTTTTTCCTTTTAAGATGTATTAATAACATAATCTAGGCAACAGCTTTTTAAGGGTGGTATATACTCTTTTATTTTACCTGTAGGGAGGCCGCATAGTAATGACTACCAGAATTACACAGGATCGCTTTGGTGGAGAGCTGGAAAGAGAATCCGAATCTTAGGATTCTTGGTTTCTGTATCTCAATCAGACTGTCAAGCCTTCCACTCCTAGCCTTCTTTCTCCAAATATGTTTGTGAAGATGAAATTTTACACACACAAAAAAATGGTTGTCGAAGAGCATTTTATTAGAAGAATTTTTTTCCCTGGTAAAAATACTCTTGCATTTCTGAGGAGGCCAGATGGCTTTTCTGGACAACATTTATTTGAATCCTTTTACAGTAGTATGTCTAAGAAATGCTGTTTTAAGCAAACTTATGGGAGAGTTCGGTTTGATAGCTTGAAACAAATCTGATCAACCAACCCGAAGACAGATCGACAAGCTGAAACAAAAGATGAGTATTAGCAAAGTATGTTGAGCTGTTTACTTCACTAAGGCTCTTGTATTTTGCAGATTTTGTGCACTAAGGTTTTGGTTATTTTTAGATCTCCATACTCAGGATTTTATTCTTTGCTACAATATGCAGGATAAGGATTACCTCTGGAGATGTGCAGAATAGAGCAGCAAAGCAGTGGAACCTACGGGGATGCTGCCAGCAGCTGACTCACCAAAATTCCAGGGCCTGGAAAACGGACTGCAGCTAGCTCACACTCTCCTCTATTTATCAACCTATTGCTCTCAAGTTTTGAGGAAATCTCTCATTCTGTCGTATTATCTTCCTTCAGACAGGAGGATTTTTGAAGGATGTTCTCTTAAATGCTGTGCTGGGAGAGTTTAAAATTATTCACCTGTATTAATTACCACCGATTAGCTGGCACTTATTGGTATATATTTATTTCCTTTAAAAATCTATGAGTTTCTAAAATTCAACAAGAATTTATTAGTCATCCACTGCTTTGGAAGAATATGTAAATTTAATTTTTCTTGTTAATGGTCTGAAAATGTGTTTGTTTTAATGTGGTTTGATGGTGGATTTTATGATTAGTCACGGGTCATGGGCAAATATTGTGTTGTCATTCAAAGAAAACTGAAAAGATAGGACAATCTTACTTGTGAAAGTGGACCATTCCTCATCGTTTCTAAGATTAGGACTTTTCTGGCTTTTGTTTAAATTATCTCAGTCCTATTGATGGTGCTGCTCTTGCTCCTGAAGTGGCATCCTCCCATTTTCAGAGAAATCCTTTCCGTTTTGGAAGGGGGCTGTTCTGATAATTGATTCTACTTTAGGTTTGTGACTACCTGCATTTATATTTTTCGTACCCTTATGCTGTTGCTTGTCCTATACTAGCAGTTTCCAAAAGTGGAAAAGGTGGCTTTCCGGGGTTTTACGGCATTTGGCTTTAAAACACCAGTACAGCTCACTCATTGTGATAAAGGAAACATGAAGTATTGTAACTGTTATTTTCTTTCTTGATATTCCATTATTTACCAACAAAGAAAATCAACACTATAGCTCTTATCACAGCTGTGAAAAACTGCAGGTTGTTTATCAGTAGTGTGTTTGCTTATCTCTCATTCTGACTGAGCCTCGTTCTTGACAGAAAGAATTACTTCTTGTTGGCTATGTCTTTCTGTTTCCTTGCTCTTCAAAGTAACCTAACAGTATCGTTTCCATTCCAGCCCTGTCAGTTTCTTAAGATATTTCTAAACTACTCTATTTCTAATCCCTCATCTGGGTACAACCTGATGTACCATGCCACATTTGCCATGATCCTGCCAGCTATGCCTGTTACGTAATAAGGGGTAAGATGTGGAATTTTTATGAAATACTTTTGTTACATCACACGAGGGCATTCTTTTTTTAAAATGATCCCCTAGACCTTTTTACATGTATGCACAGCTTAAAACCATATCCTGAGAATTACTTACCTTAGGGATTGGTAAGGCTTAAAACTATTTGGAAAAAAATAACAAAGCCCAAAGTCTTGATGCCTTCTGTTTACACTCTATTCTCCCACCATGCAAATGACCACCTTGTCTATATTGTTCACATGATTATTGACACACGCCGGGCACATAACCCTTCATTTAATCAACTCCTACATGTAGTATTGCTTTTTATGGTCCAGTTTCAGATTCTTTCATGATTGCCTGGTTTCATCTAGTCTCTTAAAATTTTCTCCATTGTTCATTCCTTTTCCTTTTTTTTCAGTTTATTGCACTGTAAATTTAATGACTCAAGCTTTTCTGCCTTTTCAGCTGTTGCCCTCCTGAGTTACTGTATACCTCTGGGTATACAGTATACCACTGTATGCTTCCTACAGCTACAGGTAAGTGGCACTTCTCCCACAGAAGTGAGTCGTGAGAGGAGCTGCGTTATCCGTGGTAAACACCATCTCTTCCAGCTCCTCTGGTGTCTGGCCATGTCAGGGTCACTTTTGTGCCCTGTCACAAGTTGCAGCATTTCAGTTCCCTGAGATATTCTCCCTTTATGTATTTATGTCTTGAAGGCAGTAAAATGCTATAATAAACCTGTGTTTTGATGTTTTTCTTTTTTTCTTTCCACATGTATTAACTGCAGGAATTAAAAAGCCCCTGCTTTACCAGGAGCTGAGAAAGAAAATGCTCGGCTGTAGGAGGAGCGCATGGTTTCTCTCAGCTTGGAGCAGCGTCTTGCTTTGACTCCTCCAGCTTTGGCTAAGGGAGAGGGCCAAACGCGGGCCCTCTTGAGTCTCTTCTCTGGGCCTCACGGGGCTACTGAGCATGAGCAGTGGCGGGCGGGAGAGGACTGTTTATGGCTAGGTTAGTGACTGGGCCTCTCCTCCAGGCCCTGGCCTGGCCCCAGCCATTGCCTCAGGTTCACCCCTGGCTGGGGCCTTGGCCCCCAGCCCTGCCCCTGCCTTGGGTGCTGTTTCGGAGGGATGCAGGGAGCAGGCTGTGCCGCTGCCATCTCCGACAGAGGAGCTGGGGGCAGGAGCCGCACGCAGTGGGTTGAGGGACCTGAGAAGCGGCAGGGGG